TTACAAAGCATATCACTGCACCAAGCAAAAGGTGACTGATGAAAGCAATGTCTTCTGTACAATATCACCAAAACTGCAATTTTCCAATAATACTTTCTCCATGTATCAACATGCCAGCTCAATTTTTTGACAAAAACTTACACATAATGCAATTACATGTTATATATGAATATTGGAAATTATGTAGAGGAGAGTGCATTTATACACATGTTTAAGAAATGATTTACCACATTAGGGATACATAACATTTCTTATAAAGGCATAGTGGGATTCTTTTTCCATACTGGAAGTATTCACACTACAAATGACACTACAGACTATTCATAGGTACTGATACTTAACAAGGGGATGTCAATTATTGGAGAATAGACTGGAATAAAGATACTGTACTTCTAATTAACCACGCTATCCAATATGATTGTTAAATTCCTCTACATTAAACTTAATACAAAATCTGACTGCAGTTCTTTCCCCTTAAAATTAAGGTATGAATGAAGTCAACATAGTAAAAATTCTTAACAAGTAGTAATAATTACTTTTAGTTACTAATAGAACTTCAAATTTAATTTTGCAAGTGACTCCAAAAATGTGATTTATTTGTTCAACCCCTTTCTAAAGGCAGGCAAATTTCTAATTGTTCAAGAGGGAGACAGCCATGCACTGTTTATACACCCAAATTATCAAGTTTAGTGGTAAACAATGGTAACCGATTATGAAGAAGGAATTCATTATCCACTAGTAATATAAAATAAGTTCTTTTGAACTTTAAAAAGTTCTCACCAGAACCATCTATCTTTTTGATAACAAATTCAAATGCTCCTCTTCGAGGTGTCTGAGGGTTAAGGGTTACATCAAGCTCTGGGCATTCGGCTTTCAAAGCTTCAGAAAGCTCCAGAGCTTTACGCTGAAATACTCGTCAGGATTTACTGCAAAACAAAATTGTTTCACAAGACTACAACTAACCTTGTCACCTCAAAAGTACTTATTCACTAACACACACACTGCCCAGATTAATGTGATAATATAAAAATCTTACCAATGTTCCACAGTAAGTTGAGCCACGTCTTTTCCGTTAGCCTTAGATTTCGAATTTTTTTCGCGTACATCCTCTTCCTTCGTAGTTTTTCTGCCGCGTCCCTTTCTTGGTTTCGTGGTTTTGTCGTCATTCTCATCTTTATCTTCTTTGTTTTCCTGTTTTTGTTTCGCAGGACGACCTCGAGATCCTTTCACAACTTTGGGAGCATCATTTACAGCTTTCTTAGGCCGTCCCCTGCCTCGCTTTGGCTTGCTCGCTTCATCTTCTGACACCGCTTCTGATTCTTTCTCCACTTCATCCAATTCTTCCTTTTCTTCAGATACCGCACGTTTTTTGGATGGAGGAGCAGTTTCGTCTTTCGCCTGAGCATCAGCAACCTCAGTGGCCGCCGGCTTTCTACCTTTCCTTGCCGGCATATTGATATAGTTCTAGACTAAAACCGGAGAAACAAAAAAGAAAAATAGAAAACAAATTCCTACAACAAATGGTAGTAATTTCACAAGCACCCTTAATCTTCTCTATGGGACGGAACACTACTCAGCCAAGCACAATTATTCGTAATAACCACTGCTTACCGCTACACGCGACGTGGATAACAGGGATTCCTTCCTGGACGCTTCAATGCAGCTTAAATGGCAGGAACAAGCGTTTGGGCGGGAATGGATATGCAGATAGTATTCAACATTGAGGTTGCGATTGGCTGCTTCAACTACACAGGGGGCAAATGTAGTCACGTGATCTATCGCTTTGCGCGGCAAATCCTGACGGTTGGGCCTAGGAAAATGATTGCCCGCAGTTCACAAATTGAAATAATAATTATACCATAAAGTAAGAAACGTAGTATTACTTTATTCATATTCCACTTGTTCATCATATCATTAATTGTTTCAATACTAAGATTGTAATCATTTCAGCCACGGCCAACTTTTCAAGAATTTACATCTTGTAAAGTCGACCGTGCTGCAGCTATATCGTTCAATTTATCATTCGTTAATAATTCGGTTTCCTGATCCAATTAACTAGAACAGAATTATCTGAGTCAATAACAATGAATCTATAATTTTTAAAAATATAAAATATTGTAATAAAACGTGATGGAGAAAATGGCGCGTTTGACTGTCACATCTGAGCATTGTCCAACCTTTACCCGCCAAATTTGAATTATTTTACCACGTTTACACGTACAATTTCAATTTGAAACGTTATTAAGATGCATTTAATACCCAGATAGTGTTTATTATAATGAAAGTGACCGGTTGCATTCTATTTGTCTAACAAATCCGATAAGACTGTCACAGAAAATGTCACTCTACCAACTTGAAAAGGAGGTATAGTCTGGTATAACCTAAGAGGTGACAGATGACCCATATTAGCCCGGACAGTCCCTTTTTTGTCAGACCGTATTTTTTTTTAAGGCAAAAACGAGATGCCAAAATGTCCCGTTTTTTAAGAATGACTTACTAGCATAAAGTGGCAGACATAATTTTAAATTATTCATGTAATGTAGTCCGTTGGGGTAAAACGTAAGCGCTAGTAAATAATACGCTCAAGTACTAGGTAACAAGAATATTTAGATTTCTTCATGTATTCCGGGCTGATGGGCGTGGTCCAATTGGCTCTGAGATGCAAACGTTTCGCCCACGACTGCGGTGGGCATCTTCAGTGGCGAGGTCTCTGGGCGGTGTCCGGGACGGTGGCTGACTGCGACTGCCCGGAAGACATGAAGAATATTGACTCCGGCCGTGAAAGCCTACAATGCTGTATAAAATGTTTATGATTTATTCAGTCAAAAACAGGAAAACTATATGTCATGTTGGGGAAAAGATAATCTGCGCGCGTTTTCTTGAATTCCAGAATCCTTCCCCGTCATTTCATATAAATAGTTGAAAGATGAGTAAAGTTTACCATAAATAAGTAAAAATAAATTTTAAAATTTGCAAGATTAGAAAATATTTGGAAAAATAGTATTTTGTTTCTGAGTTATAGAAAACTTTTTGCATCGGTACACGAATTGCAAGTATTATTTTTTTCTGCATTGCTAACAAAATAGCAACTCGCCCTTGCCTTTACTCTTCCATTACAAGTAAAAGGAGAGTTCACAAAACGTGCGCATAGTGAAGCTACATTTACGTCCGAGTACAACAAGGGACCATCTCCACATTAGCTCAATGAATCGGGAATCTGAACAAAAAACCCGATCGAGATGTGCTGCACAACCAAAGGCGGGATTTCGGATCTTTTATGAGGGGCAAGGGTCCCCAGCATAGATGATAAAACTTCCATTAAAACCAAATGATATATACATTACAACTCTGACATAAATAAGATTTGAAATATTTCTTGGTCTCACTCACTACCCACACCCTCTATTAACCAAAACCTGAAAATTGAAAAATAGCAAAAAAATGTTTTTACTGTCTTAGAATCCTGGGAACAGGCTTGAAAAACTCGAAAGTTCCTCTCAAAAAAAAATCGTTGTGAATTTTTGCAAATCTGTTGCTGAACTATAATTAAAGAAAGAAAAACCAATTTTAACATTCCGTCACATTCCGTTTTTAAGTTACATTGAAAATGGTTACATCAGTTCTGTGCATATATGCAATTTTATTATAAAATTTGTATGAAAAATTTCTGTTGCCTAAAAAAACAATGAAAACTTTTTTATTAAACGAAATCGCAATTATGACTAAAACATGTTGCCGTTTTTAAATAAACAGAAGTGAAATTATTATAATAACATAGGATGTATCAGCACAAGTATTAACACTACAAGGTACAACTATTCAGTTCAGGTAAAGGTTCGCTTTTCAGTGTACATCATACAAATATTATACATTAGTTGCATTATATTTTTCATTATAATTGGAAAATCGTACTAAAAATGTTTAATATAATAAACAGTTTTACTCAACGTTCATTTTTCTTTTCACTTTCTCACATTTTCAAAAATTTTTTACTTTTTCACTTTCTCACATTTTCAAAAATTGTAAAGCGCAGTTTTTGGTCTCTAACACAGAGACACTATGTCAGTCAGTCTGTGTCTTTTTTCTTATTCCTTACGTTTCGCAGAGTTGACAAATTCGTTCTTTGATTGAAGATCTGTTAAAGAAAATCTTTTTACTACATGGACAAAGGCCTAAATATTTCCGAATGCCAACTACGCTGGAATGCTGAATTTTTTTTTTAATCGCTCCGCGGAAACGTTTCGTGAGAAGCTCTTATTGTTTAGCATTCAAAATATTTCAAAACGCTAAGAAATTTGTAATGGAAAGTATTTTTTAAATCGAAATATACAATACTTGTATTAAGCTCCTTGCAACTTTGCAAATTTCTAAGTAGGGCCTTAATAACTTTTAAAAGCAATATAATCAATATTCAAATTACAATATGTTATAATATTCTAACAATTTTGTTTCTCATTGTTTATCTTTTCTAAAAAACATAACAAATGAATAAAACAAAAACTAATTTTTAGAAAACAAATAAACTATCTAATTATTGTTTTATTTATATAGCATTTCCATGTGCAAATATTAAGACAAAATATTGAAATTTTGAGAAACTGTATAGAATTTACAAGGCTATAATTTGTATTTAGCCGTTTTTACTTTCCCGTGTATGTACGTATATACGGAGTAATATACGTAGTATAGGAAAAGATATGTAATGCTGCGGAAAATCTATTTCGAGATTTCAACAGAAATACTCGTTTTGGGGTCCCCTGATACCGAAAAAGTGGTACTTTTCAAAACATCCGCCCGCCTGTCAGTCCGTCTGTGAACACCACTAGCGCCTAAACCATACGATTTTTTCCCAAATTGATATTCCCGGACGATGTGGCTCCACTCGAGGTGATGCGAAAATCTTTTTTCAAAACTTGGGGTTACTTTACACGAAGCCCCCTGGATAATATCAAAATTTTCTCAAAAATGGCTCAAATTGTTTCCTTTTAATTTCTTGTCAGAATAAAGGTAAGTAACTTATAAAGGTGGCATATAGGTCCGATTTCCACAGTTATCTTTAAATTTTCGAAAATTGCAAAAGTTTGAATTTTCTGGGTCTTTCTACAACTACAATATTAAAGATAGAGGTTTTCCCTTCATTTGAAATTTGTTGTCCATAGTTAGTTCATTAAGGCCATTATAATGTACAGGTTTTTGAAAATTTTAGTATTTTTCATGCAATATTTCGTGCAATATGTGCAATTTTAAAAATTACAAAAACAAGATTTTCTCAAAAACGGCTCCATATTTTTATTTAAGATTTTGGTGTGGATAGTTCTAAATGCACTCTATAACATAAACGTCATATTGCAAATTGCGTAATTTTTGTACCTTCCCTCACACTGTTAATTTTTACATTCGTGGCAATTGGTTTATATGAATGTATTTATGAGTATGTGTTTTAAATAATGTCAGTGAAGTTTCCCAAAAACTCTACTGTTTTCTGTGAAAATGTGCTAAAAATTCCGCAGTTTAAGAAACGCTAATACAACATTTTCTTAAAAAAAACTTTCGGAAATCGAAAAATTATGAAAATTTTCCAAAAATATACTTTGGGAGGTGATAGATGACAGTAGGCAACAGTATATGGCAAGTTCGTATAGATAGCTGAGACCAAAGGAAATAGAAAACTAATACGGGACTGTCTTTGCCATTCTGTAGCACGTCTAGTTATGGTCTGTGTCAGAACATGAAATGTTCTTGAAAAACGAAGGGGAGGGGAGTATTTTTTCCCTCCTCTTTTGTTCATTGAAAGGATAAAAATCGGATATAAACGGCTGAAAATATTCTCGAATCATCTTCATCATCTATCGTAAAGCTCAAGGATAATTGAAGTCATTATTGGTTGGCGTAATGCCATTAAAATAATTAAACTTATATAGGAAGCTAAACAGGTTATTTCTTTTGTACGAAGTACTCCTGTCAAGTTGATGTAAAAAATAAGGATTTTTTTAAACTTCAATTACAATTTTCAAGTTTTTTTCCATCCCCGAGGGCAGTTTTGCCTACCTTGATGCGCTATTCCCTTTGAAGATACGCGAAATAAAGTGTCTACAGATTTTTTTAATTGTCTCTAC